CAACGTCAGTACTATTACCAACGCCACCGTCGTCATCATCATCATCACCTTCAACATCATCATCACCTTCATCATCGTCACCTTCATCCTCATCCTCATCACCATCGCATTCATCAACATCATCATCATCATCATCATCATCATCATCGTCACCACCACCAGCAACATCATCATCATCAGCACCTTCCTCATCACCATCGCCCCCTCGTCCGCCAAAATCCTTCCCTCCTCCTCCGCTTCCTCTTCCTCCTCCTCCTCCTCCTCCTCCTCCTCCTTCTCCTCCCCGTTATTGCCCTCAAGCCCTCTTCCTCTTCCTTATCCTCACCCTCCTCAACATCAGCATCATCGTCATCCTCGCACTTCTTCCGCTCATCCTCCTCCTCGTCCTGATCCTCCTCATCATCCCCCTGATCCCCCTCGTCTCTCAGAATCTCTGAGAATCACTGAGAATCTCTGAGAATCTCTGAGAATCTCTCAGGCTGTCTCAGAATCTCTCAGGCTCTCTCAGAATCTCTCAGGCTCTCCCAGAATCTCTGAGAATCTCTCAGAATCTCTCAGAATCTCTCAAACATTCTCAGAATCTTTGGGATTCTCTCAGAATCTCTCAGAATCTCCCAGGATCTCCCAGAATCTTTCAGAATCTCTGAGAATATTTCAGAATCTGTGAGAATCTTTGAGAATCTTTCAGAATCTCTGAGAATCTCTCAGAATCTCTCCGAATCTCTCAGAATCTCTCCGAATCTCTCAGGCTCTCTCAGAATCTCTGAGAATCTCTCAGAATCTCTCAAACATTTTTCAGAATCTCTCAGAATCTCTCCGAATCTCTCAGGCTCTCTCAGAATCTCTGAGAATCTCTCAGAATCTCTCAAACATTCTCAGAATCTCTGAGAATCTTTCAGCATCGCTCAGAATCTCTCAGGATCTCTCAGAATCTCTGAGAATATCTGAGAATCTCTGCGAATCTCTCAGAATCTTTGAGAATCTATGAGAATCTCTCAGGATCTCTCAGAATCTCTCAGAATCTGTCAGAATCTCTCTGGCTCTCTCAGAATCTCTCAGGCTCTCCCAGAATCTCTCAGAATCTCTCAGAATCTCTGAGAATCTCTCAGGCTCTCTCAGAATCTCCAAGAATCTCTAAGAATCTCTCAGAATCTGTCAGAATCTCTCAGAATCTCTCAGGATCTCTCAGAATCTCTCAGAATCTTTCAGAATCTCTCAGAATCTCTCAGAATCTCTCAAGCTCTCTCACAATCTCTCAGAATCTCTCGGAATCTCTCAGAATCTTTCAGAATCTCGCAGAATCTCTCAGGCTCTCTCACAGGCTAGCAGTGATTCTCAGAGAGTCGCATAGGTTGGAGCTTTTCAAAAGCTCCAAAGTGGTTGGGATCTCACGCGTCCCAGGGGTCATTGACGGTTGGGATCTGAACCGTCCGGTTGGGATCTTACGCGTCTGGTTGGGATCTGAACCTTTCTCCGGGTGCGTCACCCACCTCTTGCGGGCCAACTACGAGGATGGCGGCTGGACTGCAAGAGTGGACGAGGCCATCGTCCAGGGGGTCGAAGACCTCCTCGGGTGCTTGCTGCGCGCCGACCAAAAGACGCAGTGCTTCCTGCGACTCGCACACGGAGGCCTGGGACTGACCTCAGCGGCGGAGACGGCTGCGGCAGCTTACCTTGGAAGCTGGGCTCTGTCTCTGAAAAGTGTGCGGACCTGCCTGGGCGTGGTCTCTTGGCAGAGTTTTGCTGCTCGGTGCCCTGCGGTGACTGACTCCATCAGGCGGGCAGAGGCGCATTTGCTGACGCAGGGGGGCGGAACCTTCGAAGCGATGGACTGGGCCAGTTGTCTCGACGAACCCCTCGCTGGTCGGCAGGGGCGCTGAACCGGGCTGCTGCGGAAGCGGGCGCGCGACCAGCTGCTACAGACACTGGGGGAAGACGACCGCGTCGACCTCCGCTCGGCCTGAGGGCCAGGGGCTGGGGAGTACCTCGAAATCCCAGTCGCCAGGGACGGGGAGACGCCAGCGAAGATCCCAGACGGTCACTTCCGAATGGCCCTCGCAGACCGCCTGCGCTGCGACCTCTGCGCCCCTGGAACGCAGTGCCGGCTCTAGAAGCGAGATGGCACAGTCTGTGGCGCGCTGCTGAACAGGCGGGGAAGACACGCGCTGAAGTGGCCTTGCGGCCCTTACAGAACGGGCAAGCACGACGCGATGCGCGATTTCTGCGCGGCCTACCACCGCAAGGTCACAGGCTACGTTGCGACCACGGAGCAGCTTGTTGCAGCCTGGCACCGGACCAACACGATGACTGGGGAGTGGGAGGAAGCCAAGCTGGATGTTGCCACCCGCGACGCGGTGACGGGCACCGCGGTCTATCTGGACGTGAGCATTGCCTGCGCTCACAGCGACGACCAGTCGCGCCAGCGGGCTCGCTCCGGCCGGGATGGCCTTGCCGCCCAGACCCGCGAGGACGACTAGCGACGGAGGTACCCACCTCACGGCGGCGACCTTGTCCCAGTCGTCTTCGAGACCGGCGGACGCCCAGGTGATGCGGCAGCGGCCTACGTGCGGTCCCTGGCGCACGGCTTGGAGGGAACGGCGCGCACCGAGGTGCTTCGGTATGCCTGGCAGCAGCTCAGCTGCCGGCTCCAGGTTGGCAACGCCGAGGGGCTGCTGGCTGCCATAGGCACTCGATGCCTGATCCGCATGTAGCCGCGCTGCCCTGGGCAGCGGCCACTGCCGACGACGTCCTACTTTGACGACTCGACCTCCGCCGACGACGATCTCTGACGATCTCCTGCAGTAACCAGACGGCGACCTCTGCCGGCGACGACGACCACCAACGACGACGACCATTACCGACGACGGTCTCATACGACCCCCCGAAGTGACGACGACCGACCACCCCCCGTCTCCCCCTTCTCCCTTGTCCCTTCCCTCTCTCTTCGGGCTGGCCGCCCTCGCCGCCCAGAAGCGGCCCCCCCTGGCTCGCCTTCTTCTCCCTCGGCGGGTGCCCCTCTCCCGCAGACCAGGCGGTCGCCGAAGGCACTGGCCGGGGCGTCTTAATTGACTTGCGTCCTCTGCACTTGGGTGGGGTTTTTCAGCAGTGGGCCCCATCTCGGTTTAGCACCTTGGCCCGCCGCGGGCTGTCCCTTCCCAGGCCCCGTTGGCCTCGAGTGCTGCTAGGAGCTTTCTTCTTCCTTCCCCCCCCTCGGAGAGGAAGAGGAGGAGGAGGAGGAGGAGGAGGAGGAGGAGGAGGAGGAGGAGAAGGAAGGAGGAGGAGGAGGAAGAGGAGGAGGAAGGGGAGGAGGAGGAGGAGGAGGAGGAGGAGGAGGAGGAGGAAGGAAGGAGGAGGAGGAGGAAGAGGAGGAGGAGGAGGAGGAGGAAGAGAGGAGGAGAGGAGGCACAGGAGGAGGAGGAGGAGGAGGAGGAGGAGGAGGAGAAAAAAAGAGGAGGGCGCTTGGGATCAGTGCTCCCTGCCCTGGGCCCCGCCCCGCCCTGCCAGGGCGCGGCGGCACCGGCGAGTTCACCGGCGATCTCCCCGCGGAGCGCAACGGAGTGCAGCAGGGAGCTCACGGCGGAGAGAACCCACCACATGCTCCTCGCCTAACGTGTCGCGGCAGCGGCCACGGCGGCACGCCACGCCGTGCAAACTGATGGCGTGTCGTCGCGCTCCGCGGGAGGCTGGGGAAAGGCTCGGGCCGTTGATGTTCGGGGACTGGGGCGTGGTTGACGGGTCGCGCCGAAGCGTGGTGGGCCAGAAGCGGCGGCGCGGCACGTTAAGCAAAAGGTTCCGACCGTACCGTGACTAACGTGGAAGGTCACGGTAAGATGATGGAATGCGGCGATGAGCTCATGGAGCGCGCCGTCAGCAGCGAAGAACACAGGGTGGCGCCATATTCCCGGCGCTCACGGAACAGGGCGGTGCGGCCGCGGCGCTCAGAAACACCATCCAACGGCACAGGTCGCTGCAGCATCGCCAACGGCGAAACCCCTCGGGAGGCCCACCAAGAGGGCACCAAGCGACTCGTGCCGCACCTTCCTGCCCTGAAAGGGCTCGAAGACTCGAGGCGGAGCGTCCACGTCGGGTGGCCCACCATGGCGCGGCACGCTGCCGCGAGAGGTCGCGACGGCGAGCGACGATGAAGACGGCGGCACCCACTGCCATCGCTGAAGGCGGCGGCCACGTTGACACCATCGCTGGCTGGCCGCCTGGCACCTGCGGCACCAGGGGATGCACTCCTGACACCACGAGGTGCACCACAGGGGGCATCCGCGGCACCACGGATCGTGTGGCGGCACGGAATGCACCGCTCATGACGGGCGGCCCTGGCGCCTGCGGCGCCATGGTGCCATCCACAAGGAGAATGGTGGCACCCGCTGTCGTCGCCGAGGGCAGCGACCGCCATTTCGTGGAGTATTTGTTTTCTCGACGCGCGCGCTGAGCGGTCGTGGCACCGCGCGGCGGCGCCCAACGCCTTGAAAGGCGGTGCCTGGCTCAAACGGCTCGTGGAGAGGCACGGCACCGTTGGCGCCACCGTTGGCTGGCACCCGCTGGCAGCGGACGCGGCAGCCAGCCGGCCGGCGTCGGGCCTCGTCGGCTGCTCACCGGCGGCGCGGGGGCGTGCTCGGCCAGCACCCGCGCGCCTCCCGCGGCGGGGCAGGCCGTGCCGTGGCGGCCCTTGCCCGCCTGGTGGGCCCCTGCAGCGTTGGCCGTGGAGGTGCTGCCGCCTCGTGGTGCTGGCGACGCTCCACCGCGGTCCCCCTCGCGGTCGGGCGGGTCCGCGCCGTCCGGTCGGGTCCATGCCCAACCAGGCACGCTGACCTTGTTGCGTGGCGGCAGGAGACGGGCATGTTCAAGACCTCCCCCGATTCCTCGTCATCCTCGTTTTCATACCCCCGCCCCCGCCTCTCCCCCTCCACCCCTTCCTCACTCCGAGTCCGCACCCCTCCCTCCAGAACCTTCCCCTGCGAATCCCGACCTTCCTGCAAAGCGCCCGGCCTTGAACAGCACGTGGCGGAAGCGCTTCTCCAGCTCCGAGGGGTCCCATCTCCTGAAGGGCGGCTTGCCTGACGTCCTCCTCCTCCACTTCTTCTTCTTCCTCCTACTCCTCCTCCTCCTCGTCCTCTTGTCCTCCTCCTCCTCTTCTTCCGCCTCGTCCTCCGCCTGCTGCTCATCCACCTTTGCCTGTTCCTCATCCCGTTCCTCCTCCTGCTCCTCCTCTTCCTCCTTCTCCTCCTCCTCCACCTCTCTCTCCTCTTGCACCCTGCGACCCCCGCAGCGGGGGGGCAGTTGCTGCTCTGCTGGGCACCGTATCCTGGTGCTCGGCCCTGCGCCACGGGGACATTGACAATGCCATTTACGCTCCACGGCTTGGAGTCAACATGCCAACTCGCTTTGGCGTGTCCCACCTCGCAGCACCTTGCCCGGGCCGTGGCGCTCAGTTACGCCCGTGACGCTGGAGCCACCTTGAGTCCAGGCGCGGGGGTCGTGCATTTGGTGGAGTGGCGGGGCCGCTTGGCCCATAAGTCTCATGCCGCCTTAAGTTGCCACCAACCCAGTTGCACGTGTCATGTGTTTTGGCAGGTGGTGATAGTCGGGAAGGCCCTCACAATGAGGAGGTGAACCGACCGTTCCCCTACGCACCACCGCCATCACGTTTGAGTAGCGAGTGACGGGGCGACAAGGCGCTGACCTGCAACTCGACCGTCTTGCGTGAGCTCGCCGATGAGCGAGCGGCCTCCGCTGCACGCGATGAGGGAGGTCTCCCCGTGTGGGGGCGGAGGGCGGCCCGATTTGCGATGAGGCAGCACTCTCGTGTGAGGCAGTCCTCTCGCGAGGGTTTCGCTTCTCTGTTCAAAACAGAGAGCAGCCGCAGAGGGCCTCGGAGCGAATGGACGGCCAGGGCCGCGCAAGGACGCGGGGGGCGCGACAACGCAGGGCCCGCGTGGGCCATCACCGAAGGCCACGGGTCCTTAGGCCCCCCCCACCACCACCCCCATGGGGGATGACGACCCCCAGCACTCAGCAGCACTCAGCAGCGAAGCTGGGGTGGTGGTAGGGGGGACGGCCGAGGCTCGCGCGCACGTGCGTGGGCCCACCCCCAGGCAGGAGAGACACGCCGAGAGGCCTTGGGCCACACAGGGCCATGTCGGAGAGAAGGAGCAGGGGGGGGGGGGCACAAACCGAGACGAGGACCCAAAAGGAGGATGCGCCACTAGGGCCCCGCAAGAGCAAGAGAGGAGGGGCCCCCTAGGGCTCTCAAGAAAGGGGGGGGAGGAGGGAGGGGCCTCGAGGGTCACCTGAGTTCCTCTGTGACGGCGAGCCGCGCCGCCCTAGCGGCGGGGCCATCTCAGCCGAGCTGGTTCTCCCTGCCCCCCTCCGCGGCCGCTTGCCCCTCCACCCGAGGAGGGCGGCGCGCTCGCAGCCCGAGGGGGCGACGCCGATGGAGTATCTCATCTTCTGGACCAGGCAGGTCGGGCTCTGGTGGGCCTGGCCGCGGCTGGAGCCGAAGCCGTGCTCTGGATCCTCCAGGGCGCCTCGTCGTCGCCGTCGGAGCCCTCCGCGGAGGGGGGGTCCTGGGGCGGCTGTGCGTCGGCGTCCTCTGGCTTTGCGTGGTGGGGCCCGTCCTCCTCGCCGTCCTCCTGCACGCCCTTCGGTGTCCTGGTCCTCTGAGGCCGTCTCTGGGCCGTCGGGCGCGCCGTCGAAGGCGCGCACCTCTGGGCCCTCGGTGGAGCGCACCTGCCTCTTCTTGTTCTGCTTCTTCTGCTTCTTCCCGTGGTCTGGGCCTCTCGGCCCGCGCGCAGCCTGTGTCCTCCCCGTGGTCTGGGCCCAGCTCGTGACGGGAAGTGCCCATACATCACGTGTCCGCTGCGATCACGGCGCTCGGGTTGTCGGGGGCCCCCATCGGCCGTGTCTGCGAAGTCGAGGGGGCCCCAAGCCTCGGCGGCGACGGTTCCACCTGCGGCGCCGCCTTTTCGCGAATGCCGTGATCGGAACATCACGTATTCCGAAAGCCCGACGATCGAGACTTCGGTGCAGGATGTCTGCGCGGCCATCGGGAGCGAGGTGAAGGTCGCAGGGGCTCCCATGGCCCGCAACTGGCTCGGGCGGCCGCGCAGGATCTTCCGGGTTTCCGAAGTCGCGAGCTCGTCCTCGATGTCTCCTTCGAGCTCCTCCTCGAGGTCTTCCTCGACAACTGCCCGCGGCCTTCGCGCGGACGGCGACATCAGGTCCACTCGGTTCCTCCTCATCGTCGTTCCCCTCCTTTTCGGCGCCGCCGTCGGGGTCATCGGACTCGTCCTCCGCAGCGCCTCGACAAGCATTCCGTGCGAGCCTGCACGAGCGGGAACGCCTCCGGAGCGGCCCGCCAAGCATTCCGCGCGAGCCTGCGTGATTGGGAGTGTCTCTGCAGCGGCCCGACAGGCGGTCCGTGCGAGCCTGCGCGAGTGGGGGCGCCTCTGGAGCGGCCCGACAAGCGTTCCGTGCGAGCCGGCGCGAGCGGGAGCGCCTCCGCAGCGGCCTGACAGGCGCTCCGTGCGACTGACCCTCGACCTTGCCCTCTGTCTGCTCGGGCTCGGTGCTGCCCCGCGTCCCAGAAGAACTGCCCGCCGCTGTTGCTGCGGGTTCGCCGCCCCTCTGGCTCGCCGACGCTCCTCCCGCCGACCTGGCCCTCCTCCGCCTCCTCTCCTTCTCCTCATCCTCCTCCTCCTCCTCCTCCTCCTCCTCCTCCTCCTCCTCTCCTACTCCTCCCCCTTCTTCAACTCCTCCTCCTCCTCCTCCTCCTCTTCTTCCTCCTCCTCCTCCTCCTCTTCCTCCTCCTCCTCCTCCCTTCCTCTTCTTCCTCCTCCTCCCTCCTCCTCCTCCTCCGCCTCCTCCTCCTCCTCTCCTCCTCCTCCTCCTCCTCCTCCTCCTCTCCTCCTCCTCCTCCTCATCCTCATCATTCATCATCATCATCATCATCATCATCATCATCACCCTCCTCCTCTCCTCCTCCTCCTCCTCCTCCTCCTCCTCCTCCTCCTCCTCGGCGTCGGCGTGCTCGCACTTGCCGTCGTCGCCGCCGACGGCGCGGCGCGGCGCGCGGCAGCTCGCAGGACCTCCGCCACCGCCTCCTGCAGGCGGTCCTCCGCGGGGTGGGCGACGACCGGCGTGGAGCCGTCGCCCTTCTGGTCGCACTGTCCGCGGCGCTGGCCGTCGATGTCGCGCGGGTGCCCGCGACGCTCCAGCTGCGGCACTTCGGCGACGATGCGTTTGGAGGTGTCCTGCCTCCCTGTCTTGGCATGCTCCTCGCCCTGCTGCCTGCCGTGCCTCTCCCTGACGCCTGCAGCGCTGCCGGTGCCACCCGCAGCTCTTCCGCCTGTCCCAATCGACCTCGTCCTGGTCGCGCACGCTCCGCTTGCTCGCGGAGGGCCGCGCGCCCGCGAGGTCCGTCCCCGGGGCCCCCACGAGGGCGGAACATGTCTGGGCCACAATGGGTGCGGACATTGAGCCAAAATGGCTACGGATTGCCTCCTCTTTCTTCTCCTCCTCCTCCTCCTCCTCCTCCTCCTCCTCCTTATCCTTTTCCTTCTCTCCCTCTCCATCTCCCCCCTCTGGTGCGTCGTGTCACGATTGTGTCCTGGGGCCAATGTGTATGGTGACTGCTTTGGAACCCTGGGATGTGTAGCGGATCCCGTAGCTGCTGTGAATCCAGACGACGCTCGCTCTCACAGCATGTTTATGACAAGCTCGACGGGGTGACTTGGCACAAGGTGCCTGCTCATTGCACTTCGGATGTTGAATGCGACAAACTCGGTCGGCTAGGGTACGTCGGCAACAAGGCTGCCGACGAATATGCTAAGCGAGATGCCGCTATAGGTCGGAGTCCGGAGGCCGATCGAACTGTCGTCGACGGTTGTTTCGACCTGGTGCGTTTGCTGTGTAAGTTCTCGGCCGAACAGGAAACGCAGAATGGAGACAATAAGCAGTTCCATCACGTCGGCATCGATTGGCTTAGGCACATCTCTCTTGACCTCCCCCCTCTTCCTGAGGCCCCTCCCTCCCCCTCCCCCTCCTCCCACTGGGGGTGGCGGGACGGGGCGGCAGTGTGAGGGCGGGTAGGGAAGTGCTGAGCATGTAGCGACAGCCGAGTGGCCTAAGTGGCCTGCTCGAGGCCTCGCCATCATCGAGGCTGCTGTGACTGATGCCGCCGGGAATCTCCAGAGCTCCCTCGCCTTCTGCACCACCTGTGGTTCCGATTGTGCCGTAGGTAGGGGGGCATGGAGGCAAGACCGCCCTAGCTCAGGACTGCGTTGGGCACAATTCGACTGGCCGCGAGAGGCAACCAGATTTTGCCAGGCCGCCGTCCTTCAGAGAACGACGACGACGACGACGACGACGACGACGACGACGACGACGACGACGACGACCACGACGACGACGACGATGTCGCCATCGTCGTCATCGTCATCATCGTCGGGGGTGCTCCTCGTCATCATCGTCGTCGTCGGGCTCAGAGGGCTCCTCCTCCTCCTCCGCTCCGCGGTTCCTCCTCCTCCTCCTCCTCCTCCTCCTCCTCCTCCTCGTCATCATCGTCATCGTCGTCGGGTTCCTCCTCCTCCTCCTCCTCCGCTCGGGCCGTCGCGCCGTCGGAACCTGCTCGGGGAGGCGCTCCGAGCAACACGGGGCCTGGACGGCCCGACCGTCGCGCGCTCCGCCGCGCCTCTGAGGAGGCTCTCCTCCGGCCGCCTCGTCCGGAGGGGGCGGGGATGGCCTGGGCTGGAGCGCTGGGGTCAAGGCGGGCCTGTCCCCCGACAGGCCGATTCTGGACGAGAAATCAGAAAATAGTCAAACAGTACGCAAAAGATCCAAAAATGATGAAAAGGGGTATGGTCAAAATTACCCCAGTGCGACCCTACCTAGAAGTTGGAGCCCCTAGGAAAGCAGCATTAGTTGCTATGCTATGCTATGCTATGCTATGCTATGCTATGCCATGCTATGCTGCGCTATGCTATGCCATGCTATGCTATGGCTGGCTATGTTATGCTATGCTAATGCAGCGCTGCGCTATGC